CAGGGGGGGACGTCAGGGATGGACCTGCGGGGGGACAGGGCCCCGTCAGGGGACAGGCCAGCAGCTCCGGCGCCGTGCAGGGGCCAGGAGGGACCAGCAAGTCCAAGGCCATCTTACCCATGCTGCCGCAGGAAGCCGTGGTACTCGGCCTCGGGCTGGATGCGGGCAGCGGCTGCAGCCATCTCCTGGTGAATGGCCGCCACCTCGTCCTGCACCAGGCTGCTGATCTCCAGGTATTCCTGCAGGATCTCCTTCCTACCCCCCCGACGATGGGACCCCGGGTCAGCCGGGCCTCGGGCCGGGGCAAGGCTGGGAAGGTGGGGGCCCCGACTCTGGGTTTGGGAGTCAGCGGTGGGGGGTTGAGCCCCCACCTCCACGTTGACCAGCCAAATGACCAGCCCATCAGGCAAACTACAGACCATCTCCTGACCTCCACTCCCTGCTATGTGTGATGGGGGAGCTGGGAGTGGTAATGAGGGCCCAGTGAGATTGTGCGCAGTGTGCGGTACACACGACGAACATGCTGGTTAAAAGTGAGCTGCAGCCCTAGCCCGTGTGGCTCAGTGGGCAGAGCGTCGGCCTGCGGACTGAAGGATCCTGGATTCGATTCCAGTCAAGGGCACCTGCCCAGGATACAGGCTCACTCCCCAGTAGGGGGCGTGCAAGAGGCAGCCGATCAATGCTTCTCTCTCATCATTGATGTTTCTCTCTCCCTCTCTCTTCTTCTCTGAAATCAATAAAAATACATTTTTAAAAAAAGTGAGCTACAATCACGCCTGCAATCACACAGGCATCAGCCATCGATGTGCTGTGACCCCCCTTCTCCCCTCCATGGGCCCCAACAGCCACGGGCTGTGGTCTGGATTATTGCAGATGCCTCCTGTCTGGTCCTCCCTGCCCTTGGTCTTGCCCCCTGAGGCCAGAGTCCTGGCAGTGGCCTGCTGGACCCGCTACAGCCCAGCAGCCCCCACGCCTGGACAGCTCCGGCCTCGCGTCTGACTCAGCCCTTCCCTGGCTCTGTGCAGGCCACACCGGCCTCCTCACTTTCCCCTCACTTCAGGCCATCTCCCGCCACAGGGCCTTTGCACCTGCTGCTCCCGCTTTCTGGCAAGGCCTTTCTCCCAGCATCCCCTGGCTCATGCCTCCACCTCTGGGGCTTTTTCACACCACTCTGTTTAAGGCTGCCTCCCCACCTCCCTTTCTTGTTTTTGTTTTTTTCCAGAACACTTGTCGCTTCTAATATGCTTTTTATTTTACTTACTGACTTCCTTTCCTCTCTACCCGGACATGAGTGATCTTAGCGGATAGGTATTTTTCGGTGTTTCTCTCTGCTGTATCCCAGAGCCTAGAACGATCTCAATAAATACAATTAAGCCGAAACCGGTTTGGCTCAGTGGATAGAGCGTCGGCCTGCGGACTGAAGGGTCCCAGGTTCGATTCCGGTCAGGGG